ACTCACTCTTTGATGACCACCGTAAGATATTCCACCATGGCACAGGTAGAGAAGAACACCATAACCTTCTCCTCTGAAGCCACCTTCTCACGCAGCATCTGAATCAGGGTGCCGAGTTTGTGCTTCGCTTCACAGATCATGTAGAAGTTCTCCAGCTGGTGTGGTGTTCTCGAAACACCTAAAACAAAACAAATAAAAACAATCATGCCATGCAAACATATGTATAAGTCGTACGTATTTTGCGACAGAACAAATCAGAACCTATGATGATCAACGCAGGCTAAGTGGGAAACCACAGGTCCAACCCGGACTACCCTCCGGTTTTCGCATGGGGCACGACTGGCTAGGACTGCGTACGTTGGGGCTCGATCTCGCGAGCAAACGTCACATTGAAGCCAAACTACAACCACGTAATGAGATGCGGGTCTTACGCTCCCTTGACTGCTCAGAAGTACCGGGAGCACCACAATTAAATTTCATAACACAACAATCATAACTAACCGCATAATTGCCGAGAGTTGTACAGTTATTTGGCCACGCGGCTAACGTCTAGTTCAATCACATCCACCATTGGGTACCAGAATCCCAGTCATCCCTAAGACAGACGCCAGCGAACAAGTCGATAGAAGTCCGGACTTTCTTCAGGAAAGTCCAATCCAACGTCCTTGACACCGTTACGTCACGGTGCGCACGGCATTTGGCGGACCACTGCAATGACCATATAACCGAAGAAAACGCGCATTTCATCACAAGGTGATGCGTTTCCGCGATCCCGCATGTTGATCATGGCTCCCGAACGTGTACGGTATTAACACATCGCCAGGTATTTGGGCGAGACTTGGGTCTACAGATCCCACTCGACTCGGTCTTAGTTGTTTCAGACATGCGGGTTTTGAAAATAGCGCCAGTGTAAATAAGTACGGATGTAAACATACGAAACTAAAAGATATCATGCTATCACTTAAAAGGAAAACCGTTACTGATTTTTGCCCCTAAGGCGAAAGCGCAATAAAGCTAGTGAGGCATGTAATTGACTAATGCTCTACTTCAGCTCTACACGCCACAGATGCGGCCAATTTGATTCCCGCAACGCGGAAAAGGTCGAATTTGCCAGACTATTATGACATTTTTGCAAAGCAATGCAGCATAGCGCTCTCGAAAAGCAGATTTTCCCAATCCTGTCATACACTGCCCTGACTTAATGTTCTGCATGTTTCCAGGCCTCCACCACAGATATTTCCTTCTCAGGCATGCCCGCCTGCATCACGGCAGCCACCTATTTCCGTCGTCACTGCTTGGTTTAACGAGCGCACCAGTCCTGAGCCGTGAGCCTGAGCCCCCCCCCCCCCCAGCCCCCCAGCCCCTAACGTACTATTGCTACGGCAGTCCCGTGAGCCCTAGATTATCTGCTGTGACGTCATAATTTGGTCATCACTCAGCCTGAAATATGCCAAATACATGACCTAATAGTATGACTGCTCAGAAACATACAACAAAACGAGAAACTCAATTAATACACGTCAAAATTCCACATAACAAACCGAGCCAACGACAGGTCTGTCATTCCGTTAGAGACAGAACGCCAAACGGCTCTAAGGTTTCCGACACTTCCATCAATGTCCGAAGCGTGCAAAGCGTCCATATTTCGGCGGCCGGTACCTTGCTTCTCGCGGACGGTACCTTGTTCTCGCGGCGGTACCTTTTCTCTCGCGGACGGTACCTGTATCTCGCGGACCTTGCTGACGTACCTTGCTTCTCGCGGACGGTGATGGCCACGGGGTTGCGCAGGCCGGCGCGGACCAGCTTCTGCACCTCGTCCGTCTGCGTGGCCGAGAAGAGACCCGTGCGCCGCTGGCGTGGCAGCCGATCAGGATGTCGTTCAGCTGCCGCTCGAAGCCCAGGTCCAGGAGCCGGTCGGCCTCGTCCAGCACCAGCACCTCCTGCCAGCGCGCGGAAGCCATACGCTAGCCGGCGCCGTACCCTGCGCCCCATAGACCCTACGACCTCTCTGGACAGCAGCACGGCACGACAGTCAGCGGACTTAGCACCAGTACCTCGCGCACCGTTCGGAGAACAGTATAGCACGACGGTGAGTACCAGCACAACCTACAACCACATGCCAACAGCATAGCACTGTAGTAAGCACCAGCACCCTCCTGCATCCCACGGAGGTCCATACGCTCGCCAGCATTAGCGTCTCCTGTACCGCACAGCCAGCAGCACGGCTCGGCGCCACGGTCAGTTACACACAGCGCAGTGTCAAGACCTCTATCTGGCGCACATAAACAAATCAATGCTTCTGCAGTCAAGGGCAATGACTTATGGTTACCCCCATACCTTTCCAGCTACCCATAACGTCGAGCCCGACTATTTGTACACCAGCTACGCACCAGGCATCTGAGCGCTGCCTGCAGCCTCGCGCCCGACTCGCGCCGCTCAAGAAGATCGTGAAACCGGCCCGGGGTGGCCACGATAATGTTGCTGCCCTCTTCACTCAGCTTCTGAACATCCGTGGCCGGATTTGTCCCACCAATGAACAGCTGCCTAGAGAACTGAGGCAGCTCTAGCAGGAAAACGTCCAACACTTCACAGATCTGGGTGGCCAGTTCTCGAGTGGGAGATATGATGACTGCATACACATCATGCTTCCGAACTGCCATACACTTGCTCTGCAACATAAAGACCTGCATTAGGCAATGTGTCCAGATATCCAATATCTATACATGAACATATAAATAAATGTACACCACAAATTAGGAATTGGATGTGTGACAACTCAACATGCCATTGATACAAATGGAAAAATAAGTATAAAAGCAGTGTTGTTCAAAATCATGCCCTAACTTGAACCACAAGGAGAGAAATATGCCTCTAAGGTGCTGAACAGAGAATTTCCTCAAACTCACATTCACATGACTTGCAACACAAGTTTACAACTTGTATACCTGTATAACCTATTTCCACCCAAAACATAATATAGTTTCTCTGTATAGTGCAAATGCTTCACTCACCAGTAGGATTTCCAGTAGAGGCACTAAGAATGCTACAGTTTTTCCACTTCCAGTCACAGCTTCAACAGCAACATCCTTGTAGTTCATGAACTGAGGAATGCATGCTGCCTGTGGAAGTTCTGAGGATTAGCCAGCATTTGGAGATATCCAAGTGTAGTGAGTTCCCTGCAAGGCCTGCCTTTCCTGATGGATGAGGCTATCATATAGCCTCAGCAGCCCAGCTTGTCATAATAGCTCCAATGACACACTGACCAAGATTTTCCAGTATGTGCCTTGTCAACTTCAATCAGGCTTTAATCAGGCTCAGAAACAGAAAAAGTGACATTTGGCACATCTTAGGATTCAAGTATGCCTTTACCTTTGAAGATAAAGACTCCCCTTGTTTAAAACAGTGCCTAAAGCATCTAAAAAACCTTAAAATCTCCTAGAAATGTTACTCTACAGTGCCTGGCTTTCCTGATAAGGTGAAGGGACAGGTGCTTCTTTATACCTTCAGCAAATTGATTGTCATGAAAATTTGGATCACACTGCCCAGCATTTGCTCATACATGCATTTCTAAATGGGTGTCAGTATCTCATCACTAGTGTCTCAACATGGAGCTACACAGCTAACATAATTATTCCTTCAATGTTGCAGCAGAAATGACCTGTGTGGCTTGGTAAGAAAGAAAATCACTGACCTATGACCACCAAACATCAGCATGCAGATGACGTCAAACCCAACCACTAAGTCAATCACTGTAATGCTAGAAATGCAAGGTTATCATATTGTAAACAACAAACAAAATTTTAATTGAGAACGGAGGAGACCTGAGTACTTCTGGTAATCATTTTAGCTTCACCTCTGCTGATTTAGTCAGCCAACACATTTGCAGTCACATACCTGCACTGGTGTCATTAACTCGTACTCAAAACGCTTCAGAACAGCTCTCATCACTGGTTGCGACAACTTGAGATCCTTCCATGCCCGGCTCATCGACATCTTTCCACACCTATCAAAGTATATGAAAATAATGGATGAAACGAATCCCAAGCTTCCGATCCAAATATTCCAAAAATAAACGCGAACTCCTCAGACCTCAACGCGCGTACAGGTGCACAAGCGTGCTAAGCGACGCATGTAACGTGACCGTGACCGCTTTGCACATCTGTTTGACTTTGTAGCGCCGTAATGACTGTCTTACATTACTAAAGGAATTACTACTAGTGGGTGCAATGCAAAATATGAATAAGAATGTAAATTTGACCACTAAATATCCAAAAAAGTGCAAAAAGAATTCAACAGAACTCAAATCGTTCCTCGAAAGTTTTAAGCTGAAAAGCTTCAGTAGACTAACGTTTAAGGGGTGTGAAATTTAGGCAGCCAACTACCCTGTTAAATGCAACCGGGTTCACCGACAATAATGCACGGGTGTGCCACCGGGTCACCACAAGCTGAGGGTATCTGGCGTAGTTAGCAGGGAGGGAGTGGTGTGTTCGCGTCGTCCTGGGGCTGCCCAACGAATTGTGTAGGGTTATATCACAGCATGTGTCTTAAGTGAACCCGTGTTACTCGTCTGTGTTATTCTTAATATTCCAAAATTTGTAAACTGACAGGAGAGAGAGTAAACTGAGATTCGTTACCATTCAATGCACAATGCAAATTTATGAGTGCATCAGAGATGAGAGATTGCCTTCTTCCCTGTCCCTCTGTGTCTTTGCCATTGGTCAGCTCCATTGTCCTACTAGTAAAATGTTCAGACTGACCATATGCAGATCAGTACTATACCACAATGTGAATATGGTTGGGCTATTTGTTGTATTATAAGTAAGACCTACAGAACACTGTTGGTTGCCATTTATCTTGCATTTGTTTAGGGGTTCATGTAGCAGTATTCAATGTTCTAGCAGCTTGTTTTCAAGTTATGACTGTTTTGTAATGTATATTGCCTTTTTTGCAGCAGTTATTTGAGTAAATATTGAAGACAAAAGCAGGCATGGAAGGGACACTCAGCAAGTGGACAAATGTGATGAAAGGCTGGCAAATTCGCTGGTTTGTCTTGGATGAGCGAGCTGGACTGTTTTCCTACTATACAGTAAGTTCCTTACTGGAAGCTGTGTATCCAAGGAGTTTGTGAATAACACCATATCATTGTTAAGGGTTTCAATGGCCAGGTAGTGCATCCTTAACATTTTTCAATGTTTTCATCAGTTCAGAATTATTATTGCTAATAACCTGTGTAGATGTTCTATCAGCCCAAGATGACATTCACTAATAACGTTGATAAATTTTACCTGGGTGAAGCACATTGTGTCATACGATCACTGTGCATGTGTCAAATTGATGCTTTCAGACAATGATTTCCATGGCAGTGTATATCCAAATGCTGATTACTTCTTGCCCAGGCAATGCATGTGATATGACCCACCATCCTCTGCCTGTCCACAGTCCAAAGAGAAGATGATGCGAAACACGAGGCGTGGCTGTGTGCGTCTGAAGGGCGCCATCATCGGCATCGACGACGAGGACGAGACCCTGTTCACCATCACCGTCGATGGCAAAACGTTCCATCTGCAGGCGCGCGACGGTGACGAGCGCGACTGCTGGATCCGCGCGCTCGAGAATGCCATCTCCCTGCTCACGCACAACAGTCACCGCATCAAGGTGGGCGGCCGAGCGACGGCGGTGCGGTGCGTCGGCGCCGGCGGTGCGGTGCGTCGGCGCCGGCGGCCGCCGCCCCGCTCACGTTGCGGGCGGACGTCGGAGCGGAACGAGGGCGGAAAAGAGATCGTGTGTGGTGTGGGCACCCCTTTTTGGCTGAGAATCTACGGTTGGCCCACAAACCACGGTTGTGCCGTACCCTCTATGTGCTGAAATGGTCTCTGCACTTTCTGGTGCTCCTTAAAAGGTTGCTCAACAACCATGTGTGGATCCCCAATCTCCCCTGGGGCAGAGTCATTTTTTTATTGAAGTTTGCTTACTTATTTTCTTCTGCCTGAAGGAGTATTGTAAGAGAAAATGCTGTTAGCTAAGACATTCTTGATTTGCAGAACCTTGCCATTTGTATTCAACTTTGATGATCAGGGGGGGGGGGAGGGGGCTGGCTGGTCCTCCTGGATATACACGTGGCGACGACATGCGTCGTATTTCCTTCTAGGTCTTCTTGATCCTTTTCTTGATCTCCTTGATCTTGATCTTCCAGAAGAATAATTTCACTGCCGTGAAACCTAAATTTACATTTCGTCGCTCTTGTGCGGGCCAGCAGCCACTGTTTTATCTCATGCCGGCGTGTCCCAATCTCTGGTGCCCCCGGGTCACGTTCGCTCAGCATACTCTATATGTTCTTCAACGGGAGCATTATCAACCACATTGGCTACAAAGTTTTTGCAGTACTTGAAAAATGACAAGATGCTGTTACGCGTGGATCGTTGCTTTCGGAAAATGTCGAAGCATGAACGGGAAAAGCGGTGAGACACGCGCAACTCTGACATTAGTTTCTTTTCAACATATTGCCATTGCAGTATTCTCGGTGCAGCAGATTTGCCGCGCCAAATTATCGTAGCGCTCTCCATCCATGTATGGATGTGCTGTATGGGCTTGGCCATTATGCCTAGCATTTGTTTAATGTTTTTATTGTTTCAAATGGTGCCGTTATTTTGAATTTTTTACTTCTAAGTCATGTGTTCTAGCAACCCATTTATAGCCTGACTGAAGTGCTCATCGGGTCGTCATTGTCCCCACTGACCAGACACACTCATCCTGCTGATTGAGGTGGATAAAAGCGCAGTTATCGCGTTAGGAAGTTTGTTTGCAAGGACCTTTGCAAAGCCATCTGCAAGGCGTCTGCTACTGTTATCTGGTACCCAGAATAAACATAGCCCAGTGATTGAGAGGGCCTCTCCCAAGCGGATCTATCTCCGGCGGCACCTCTCGTGGTCTCAGGGTGCGAAGAACGGTTGACATCGGCCCCTCTTTCCGCAGACACACGCCAGAATCTGACACAGGCAGCACCTTACCCGGCACATAAAACGCGTGTTAGAACCAACACTGACAGCCGGAGGGATCTGTTCTCCATAAATGGGAAGGTGATTTAACAGATAAGGACGGCAAGAGCGTTTCGGAAAGATCGTCAGAGAGACTTCTGAGAACGCTGTCGTGCCTTGCGTGACTTTGTGTACGCGATATCCAAGAAACGCTAGCCCGACGTAACTAACCGAGATTAACCGAACAATTGTGAACCTGGTTGGTGGACAGATAGAGTTTTGGACCGGGTCCCGCTTTCGCTTACTGACCGCTTTGAACGCGACGGTACATCCTGCCTTATCCCATGTCCCAAGAGCTGTGGCGCGCACACTCTGTGCTACACTTGCCTGCCTGCCCGTGGCAAATGAGGTATACACCTGTTGAGGAAGGAAAGCGGGTGCATTTCAAAAGTTATTTCGTTGTTAATTCTCGCCGGCTACAAGGTGCCTCATACCGCCAGTCAGGCTAGTGATCGGCGACCTCCACCTGTACAATGGGCCGATGACAGCGGACGTCTTCGGTGGGCGGAAGTGTCACGGACCATTGCTGGTGACGGTACGGGCGCTATATGACGGCGCAGTCGAAGCGCCCGAAAACCCCAACTTACTACTAATCACAGTGATGCCATCGATTCGAGCTGCTTTTGAGCTGTGTTTGACCAGAGCTGTCGTACTTAAGGAGCGGAATCAGCGGGCCTGTTACGACATCACCACAGTTGCTTGCATCAACGACGTCTCATTTCGGAGCTGGATGGAGTCCTTTGTTGAGAATTTGCTCTGAATGAAATTACTAGACCACACATGCAGCGTCATGACAAAAAAGCTTCGGCTGACATATTGGTGAAGCCGATGGTGGTTGTTTTTAGTATCGCTTTAACGCCTTTAGAAGTGACCTAGTGAATCGCCAACAACCTGTGAGTGTCGGCTGTTAGGCTTTTTTGTGCGTCATCATAATCTTGTGTTTAATGCCTCATATTTGCGTTCATATCGACATCCAACCATTTTAACACGTTTGACAATAATATGCGGGTACACTTGCCGTGTGAGTGCGGTACTTACTTGCGACACTGCATTAAAATTTCCAGTTATGACGCCAAATGTCTGGTGGGCCATGCGACGAACGGGAAGGTACTTGCTAGTGTTCATAAAGTGTGCCGTAAGTCCTGTAAATGGGTTGTGCGAGTCATGTATTGGGTCACGTTGTTGCACCCAAGGAGCACAAATGCCATTGGTTTACTTTCGATGTTCAGTACCGCGGGTACAATTTATACTTCAACCTCCTCCACATCCCCTCCAAGGACTGAAATGGTCCCCACGAAATCTGCGTCAAATGCGTATTGTACTCAGCATTGCAGTTACCCCATGTCTTAAGTCTCCTCGTGTCGGTGCGTTTACCGTGAGCCTGGTTTTTGCTGGATGTTCTGAGAGCTCCCTGGGGTTTTAGCGTGTTAACGACAGACCGTCTCGCAAGGTTCTCAAAAGAATTCTCGAGGTCTTAGCTAACGATTTACGATTAATGGCTGCGGTGTCTCCTTGGTGTCAGGAGGCGGGTGATGGAAGACAAGCTGCCAGGTCGACTGTGCAACCATTGTGCACCATACTGACAGTGTTTGTCAACAGAGCGAAAAGGAACATTCATCAAATTTCAAACCTCCCCAAACAGCGCAGTGGCTGCGGCCGACAAACCTTGGGCATTCAAGGACCCGCCGAACAGGGGTGGGCGTGAGGCGCATATGCTGCATAACATTTGTTGATGCAACATGCATGATGATTGAATAGCTACGGTGTTTGAAAGCTTCCTCTTTTTTGGATTACGTGTTTTTTGACGGCAGAGATCGATTGCCGGATCTAGTTTTGAAGTGGTGTCAGTTGCTCCCAATTGGAGCTCAGATGGTGGTCGCCGAACTTGTTACTGTTGTTCGTATGTTCAGCACACAGGCTGCGCATACGTCCGAGGACCCGACCGATGACCGTCATCATCCCACCACAGCTCCGTCACACAGGCTGCGCATGGGCCCGAGGGTTCCGGCCGATGAGTGTCATCATCCCACCACAGCTCCGTCATACAGGCTGCACATGGGCCCGAGGGTGTTCGGCCGATGACTGTCATCATCCCACCACAGCTCCGTCACACAGGCTGCGCATGGGTCCGAGGACCCCGACCGATGACTGTCATCATCCCACCACAGCTCCGTCACACAGGCTGCGCATGGGCCCGAGGGCCTCGATCGATGATGGTCATCATCCCACCACAGCTCCGTCACACAGGCTGTGCATGGGCCCGAGGGCCTCGACCGATGACGGCCATCGTCCCGCCACAGCTCCGCCATACTCAGCACACAGGGTGCGCATGGGCCCGAGGGCCCTGACCGATGACCGTCATCATCCTACCACTTTCCATCGTACCCTGTCACACCGTGTCGGAAGGGCCAGATGGCGGCGGCCTCAGTGCTGCGCGCCTGCGTCTGGCCGCTGGTGTTTGCGCGCACCAGCCGCCGCCGTTGTGAGCGTGCTGAGGCCGCTTCAGCGCTGGGACCCGCACTAGCCGCCGTCGTTCTGAGCGCGCTGGGGCCGTTTCAGCGCTGGGACCCGCACTAGCCGCCGTCGTTCTGAGCATGCTGGGGCCGTCTCAGCGCTGGGACCCGCACCAGCCGCCGCCGTTCTGAGCGTGCTGGGGCCGTTTCAGCGCTGGGACCCGCACCAGCCGCTGCCCACCATGGCCGACTTCGACCGGCAGCTGGTGGAGAGCGACGCCTACCTGCAGCTGATGATTCAGCAGGCGCAGGCGCTGGAGTTGCGCCAGGCGGGCCAGCACGTCAGCCGCCGAGCGGGACCGGCTGGCCGCGCTCCGCGACAACGTCAACGTAAGCCGGCCGCGCGGTGCTGTGCAGCCGCCAACTGCGCTGTGTGTGTGTGTGTGTGCGTGCGTGCGTGCGTGCGTGCGTGCGTGCGGCGTGCGTGCGTGCTGCGTGCGTGGTGCGTGCGTGCGTGCGTGCGTGCGTGCGTGTGCGTTTCTATGTGCGTACGCACGTAGGTATGTACATGCGTACGCGCGCTTACGCGCGCTGGTGTGTGGAGGGGCCATGCCGGGGGTTCTCACGTACTGTCACCACCTCTTTCGCGGTTTACGGTTGCTGGCATCATCAGCGTTGTTGGTAGTTTTGCCAAACGAGAAGTTATTAAGCGTGGTGATGATGTAGTCGATGCATTGTCCGCCGGCTATCATTTTGGGAACTTTAACGTAGACGAATGCATGCTCGGATACGCTTCTGCATCGCGGGGCAGCACGGAGCTATTATCACAGGTGCGTTCACTCAGGCTGATGGGAAATCGAACAGCTGCCGTCGATTTTCCGCCCTGCTATCATTTACGTGTTGATGGCTGCAGACGTGAACAGTTGGGCTAGATCGTATCTAGAGCAGAGCTGCAGTGTCTGCAGTTTTAGTAAGCTTTAGTCGGACCTATGTATAGTTTACAGGATTTTATTAGCTTTGCTTGGATGCTCTGACCCAGCATTTTTATTGTTGCAGGCTATGTTGGACGCGATCAAACACAAACCATCGTCCGACTGCAGATAGCCAAGGTGAGTCGCCTCGTTCGTGTCAGCGGAGGCACCGTGGACCGGTGTGGTTGTGGCTCGCTGGGTTACCGTGCCCGGTGGCCTGCGCTTCCTGTCGTGGGGGCAATGGCGATGGCCATCACCATCCCAAATTACCGGCCACGATCAATACTACACGCCGGGATCGTGGGGACCGCCGGCGTTTGCCTGTGCTGTGTCGTGCTCGGCGTGTGGCGGCGGACACGGCGTGCCGTGTGGTGTCGGCTGGTCCCCCCCCCCCCTAAATTCCCAATCCCAAATTCCCAAATTACCACCATCCCAAATTTACCGGCCACGATCAATACTACACGCCGGGATCGTGGGGCCCGCCGGCGTGTGCTGTGCTGTGTCGTGCTCGGCGTGTGGCGGCGGACACGGCGTGCCGTGTGGTGTCGGCTGGTCCCCCCCCCCCCCCCTCCGGGACCGGCAGTCAGCCCGGCGACTGCCTGGTGTACGGGCGTCGGGAGGGAGTCGATCGACCGCCCATAATATCGAGCCCGACGCACGTGCCGCGCCCGGCCCCGTTGGGCCGCACTGCCTCAGTCGGCGCGCCGCCTTTCAGAACGAGGTGCAGCCGGTGGTGTGGGCGTGTACCAGCCGTGCAACGCGCCGCCCGAGCCACGCCCGGCAGCCGCCGATGCCGTTCGCCGCACCATCCGGGAAGGTGAGCGCACTTGCGGGCTGGGGGACCGGCGAAGTCGCACGCGGCCGCTCTCCGGTGGAGCGACGTGATGCGTCGGACGGCCGGGCTGCGTGCGGGGCGGCGCTTCATTGTCGTGTCGGACACAGCTGAACAAATGGGAGAACGTTTACCCCCACAGCAGCTTCACCTGATGTCGTTAATTTTGCTGCAGCAGTTGGAACAAGAGGATGCTAGGCGGATTACCAAGCGTGCTTTTCGGTCAGTTTTCTAGCATTTGTGGCTTGAAGAGACGAATCATAAAGCTTATCAGTCGCAGCCAATCGTCGAGGTAAAGTTGTGCCCCGTGATGCTCGATTCGTCTGTTCAGTCCGACACCATCTTCATCGCTCAGGTCAGCCCATGGACCACTATGTCGCATCTCATCACCAGAGATGTGTGCAGTCCCATTTACGGGGCGGCGCGCCGCACCGTTTTCATGTTGTCCTTAACACCTGTGCCGTTCTTACGGTCCGCTTATGCCGGCAGGCTGGCAACCACAGTGTTGCTCGCTGCCGCAGTTTATCTGGCCCATGGTAGCTGACTGCTCATGTGTGTGCCGGCGTCTTTGCCACTCACCACATGCACATAAACACCATACGCTATGCGCATGATTAGCCACAGACTCGCTCTGCGATGCCCTGGCGTCGCCGCCGTCTGCCAGTCGGCTCTCGTGGCTCGTCTGGCGCCTGCGGCCTGTGCGTGCCGGGCTGACGCCGCGCGTGCGGGGGTGCGTGCCGCAGCGGACGAGAACGCCCCGGGCCCGCTGGCGCGACGCCGAGGTCAAGACGGGCGTCGAGTTCGGCGCTGAGGTGCGCGAGGACGAGCAGTCGGGCGCGCGCTCCGACCAGCTGGGCGGTACGTGACACGTACAGCCGGGCGTAAGTCCCGGTCAGTTGAACCGCGCGCGCGGCCGGACCGGACGGCGGCCGTGTCAGCCGCCAGCGGCGCCCTCGGGATCTGTGTCGGAATGGACATGTTGGAAGTGTGAGGTGGGGGCTTTTGTAGACAGATCTGGGCGTTAGTCCGGAGGTCCGTTGCACGTGTGCATAGGTTGGTTTGAGCGAGCTTTTTTCGTGCGATATGGCTGAGGCTGCTAACTCACGTGTTCCGTTGGGGTCTGGTTTCAATGTCAAACGCAGAGTTGGTTAGCTCTGCATCTCTCGTGTCTTTCTATTTATGTTTGACAACATTTCACTGCAATTTACACATTTTCCAGGACATTGCGACAGTTTGTTTTAGTACGTGTAACCAAACACTGCCCATTTCCTCCTGTGCGATTGCATGTATTGTCAAGCGTTCCAAAGGATCAAGCCGTGCCATTCATCTCCGTGGTGTATTTCTGTGACGACGCTGTGACGACGGCGGGCAGAGAGCTTAGTGCGCTGTGGCGAGGCAGTTGAAGCACGATGTTATGAGGTGGTGGACTCCAGCAACTAATAATTGTTTGCAAATGTTGCCCGAAAGTTTCCGTTAACTGCGTCTCCATCACCAACCACTCACTCTGATCGGCGCGGTGAGCATAATTTAGCACCGTTGCCATGGTTACCCGAACACCTGTCTATGGCTGATCGCTATGGACAGGGCTCGGCCATTCGCGGTTATTTTGTGCCGATGCTAGCCAATTAGTCCCGTGCGGAACGACTGTACTCTGTACTCTGACTGTACTCCCAGTACTGTCCGTCTACTCCTGTCATGACCATCTGTCTCTGTGCTGCTGAACTTCCCATGTGCCCGCCGGCCGCCCATGTTTTGACGGGCTGCCTGTGTCCCGACTAAGCGACACCTGTGCAGACTGCCAACCCCCCCCCCCCCCCGTGCCCGCCGTCCGCCCCTCTTCACCGGGTGCCCCCGTGCTGACTGGCTACCTGTGTGTTTGGCAGAGCCGGCCATCGGTCGTTTCGTGCAGGAGGTGCCGGAGACATCGTACTCCAGCTCCGAGGACGAGGACTGGTTCGACACGGAGGACGCTGCTTCCAGGTGAGTTCCCGGCCCGTGTGGAGGACGCTGCTAGCCGTGGCGGACGCTGCTAGCCGTGGCGGCGGCAGGGGAGGGGGGAGGGGGAGCACCTGCCGGCCTGGGGGTCGTGCCAGCATCGTTCATTGTCACAGACCATGGTTGTACGATTGCGTGGCATTCCAGTCTTTTTGTGTTTTTTTTTGTGCTCAAGGTTCTGTGTCTGGTACGCCAGAGACTAGGCAAGGTTACGTGACAGTTATTTTGCACGACTGCCTTTTCACTAAACCACGATCCTGCGCCGGGTATATTACCATCAGAGGCGGTTTGTGTCGTGGCTGCCCAACGGTACCTTTTTACACGCCAACGGCTTTCTTTATGCTGCTGCTTAAATACCGTTGCCATTTACCATTTACCATTTATCGACCTGCCAAACTTATCAGCGTTTTTACACCAAAATGCCGAAGTGCTATTTCATTGGGTACCATGTTGGCGTGGAAGTCCGCCTTATACGGCAATTAGGAACAGCTCAGTAGGAACGAGTCTAGAGTAGATAGAGTAGAATGCCTCCACGGGCGGATTTACTATGACCAGGTTATATCATCCCCATTTGTCCATGGAACGTAGGAATAGGGAAGCTGTTTGTAACGACTTAATGTTGTGAAGTTGCCCCCCCATTTTCAAATTTATATTACTACTTTTTTTGCTTTCAACAGCCCGTACTTCACGCCTCGCTCACGACCATTATCCGCACTAGCGGACTGGTTCCCACCACTGGGGTAGTTCCGACCAGGGTAGCTCAGAATGTTGGAGGCCCAGAGGCTCAGAGGCTGCACTAGGTAGTGCACAGAACGGTCAGTAAACACCGGGGCACTCGGTTTTGGGGAATTGCCGCCCTGGCAGGCCACCATTTGTATACGGCACACCGATTTACTAGCTCGGGACAATGGCAACTATGCCGCCTTAGTACCAAGTGTCGTGTAATGGAAGCGTTCACTCGGGCAATCACCGCACACCGTTGCGCTCACCGCGGTCTGGGCCCCGACATCGATTACTGGGACTCGATGCCCGGCTGGGCTCAGCGACAACCATGGTTGCGTATCAACTCATCCGGACATCCAAGTCCGATCATCTGCTGCGCTGCGCAGTCATAGCGCTCACACACGCGCACATCCTGATACGAAGCCACCGACCGGGCATATGTATGGAGACTGCGCTGCTCCCGGGCTGGTGCAAACACACATTGTTGCTCGGTTATGTAGCTCGGCTCCCAAACATCCAGGTTAAACGTCGGTGGTCTAGAACGCGTTGGTCGGTGACATCACATACATTGGGGTTTGGCGGACCCCCACAGGCTGCCCAGCTCTGCCCACGGCCGCTGTCGCTGGGCTCTCAGTCACCAGCAGGCGCCCCAGTGTCTCCACAGCCCTGACCGCGGCCGCTGCCCTCAGCCACCAGCAGGCGCCCCAGGGTTTCCCCGGCCCTGCCCATGACCGCTGTCGCTGTGCCTTCATTCACCAGCAGGCACCCCTGTGTCTCCCCAGTCCTGCCCATGCCCGCTGTCGCTGTGCCTTCATTCACCAGCAGGCACCCCTGTGTCTCCCCAGTCCTGCCCATGGCCGCTATCGCTGTGCCCTCAGTCACCAGCGGGCACCCCTGTATCTCCCCAGCCCTGCCCATGGCCGCTGTCACTGTGCCCTCAATCACCAGCGGGCACCCCTGTGTCTCCCCAGTCCTACCCATGGCCGCTGTCGCTGTGCCCTCAGTCACCAGCAGGCGCCGTCGCCGGTGAGATCCCGGCCGCCGCCGCCGCCGCCGGCGCCCGGCTCCGGGGCCGGGCCGAGCGACGCCGGCGGCGGCGCGGCCGTCTCCAGCGCCGACTATGATGCCGCCTACGAGGAGGAGGAGGACGACCTCGGCTCGATGGAGGGCCACGGCTCGGTGGTCAGCCACCTGCTGTCGCAGCTCCGCATCGGCATGGACCTGACGCGCGTCGTGCTGCCCACCTTCATCCTGGAGCGGCGCTCACTGCTGGAGATGTACGCCGACTTCTTCGCGCACCCCGACCTCTTCACCAGGTGCGTGCGCTCGTCGGCCGCGCGGCCACAGTTAATACGGAGGCCGTACGCCGTCAGGTGTGGCCCAACGGGATTAACTGCCCGCGCCCCCCATCGAAGCCGCACGCCGCTGGGTGATGTCGAAAGGGATTGTCTACGATGCTACACGTTTCAAAATGATGCATGTCAGAGAGCTTCGATAAAGGATTCAGGGCCGAGTTGTTTGGAAAATAGCATGCCAAGGTGTGAATGTTACAAGTGAGCGTCGCGCCGTAATAGTTCCCGGGTGTCGCAGCATCCCGGACTGTCCGACGCCCCGTGACCGGCTGGTTCAGGTGCTCAAATGGTACCTGTCGGCCTTCCACGCCGGACGAAAATCCGAGGTCGCCAAAAAGCCGTACAACCCCATCATCGGCGAGACGTTCAGGTGCGTGCCAAAGCCTGGGACAGCCAGGTGCCTGCGCTCGTGTGCGTGCGCGCGCGTGTGTGCGTGTCGGTGTGTACGTGCTTGTGATTGAGGGCTTGATGCGTCTGATTTCGGATTCCGGGGGTGTTAAAGTATGCGTTGTTGTTTCTAGCCGACGCGTCGTTCTGCTTCCCCTCGGGCTGCCTACGCTTGCGGTTAAACGGTGCCCATGAGCGGTGAGACTGGCGCGAAATGACGTTCAGTGGCTGGACCGTAGGCGCGGGGTCGGCGGGCTGCTTGCGTGTGTGGCGGCTCGCGCAGGGTTGGTGAAAACAGACGCCACGCGATCAACCGAGCCGTGTTTTCGGAACTGTCCAGGGGACGACCGTGTGCAGCGCAGGAGGCGTGTTCAGGCGGTCTCGCGTGCCGCCTCGTCTCACGGACCGGCTGAGCGTACGGATCGATCAGGGAAGGGCACGCGGTGTGGTAGCTGGTCGCACCGTCTGCTGAGGGCGCGAGACGCCCCAAGTGGCGTCGGCTGCTTGTGTCGGTGGTCACTGGGCGCGACCACCGGCGTCGTGCCTGCTGGCCTGCTGCGACCCGGGTCGGCCCGCTGGGTTGCCTCCTGACCGCCCCTCGCCTGCGCCCTCGCAGGTGCGTGTTCGACATTCCCGGCCAGCCGGCGTCGGAGACGGACTCACTGGTGCCGGACGGTCCCGTGCCCTGGGGCAGCGAGCACCAGGTGTGCTTCGTGGCCGAGCAGGTGTCTCACCATCCGCCAGGTGAGCGCGCCCCGCCGAGTGGCCGTCCGGCCGGCCGGCTGGCCGACTCCGTCGCCCACTGTCTGCTGCTGAATCCGGCCTGTGCGCTGCCCTAGCGCACCGGTTGAGTTACACTTCCCACTGTCGTACAGCTCATGAGCCCGGCTGTGCGCTGCCCTAGCTGGTCATGAATGACGCTGTATACTGCGGCACCGGCTCCCGAGCCCGGCTTTGCACTGCCCTAGCGGACCGTGAATTACACTACACTGCCGAACCCGGATGCGTGCTGCCCTAGCGGACTTTGAATTACACTGCCCACTGCCCTATAGCTCACGAACCCCACACATTGCTCTGTGCTATATCAGTAACAAACGTCTCTGACTCGTGGAACAACAAGCACGCTGTTTGCTGGTTCTGTCGTCCAAGCGTTTCGTATCTTGCCATCGCCCGGTCTGCGAGCTAAAGTGATTTCGCAAGTTGAGATCGAACAAACGCTTCACACTGCGGTCCATTTGGGCAATCGTCTTATTGAGCCCCATTTACTTGTCTAGTCGCTGCGTTTCGCATGCGGCGTTAGCCGAAGCGGCATGCCGATGCTGACTCCATGCTGACTCCACGCCAACTGTCCTTCCATAATGGTTAAAACCATAAAGACAAATGGCGCTCTCTGCGCCAGTTCAGTTTGTTTTTTGTAGATGCGCATTCTGTGTGAGCAAGAAGCCCCATTTCACATGGTCAAGAGCATTGCCCTCTTCTGGACAACGACGTTTGCTGTGTCTACCGCACTCTATGCTGACTATCACTGTATTGTTCAGGTTAACACTGGTTGACTGTGTACGCGCCGCGCTCCTACAGTGTCAGCCTTCTACGCCGCCGAGCACTACGGCCGGCGCGTGTCGTTCTGCGGCCACATCTGGACCAAGTCCAAGTTCCTGGGCCTCAGTATCGGCGTGCACAACATCGGCCAGGGCTGTGTCTCCCTGCTCGACCTGGACGAGGAGTACCTCCTGTCATTCCCCAGCGGATACGGCAGGTACGCGCTCTTTGGAGCAGCGCGAGAACTGCGACCAGCTCGTGAGGCCTGAGCGTCTATGAGAGCCAA